ATTGATATATTTCAAAAGATTTCAAAACACTGGTTTTGCGCTCATACTTCGCGACTCGAGTAGGCTAGCGCCATTCGGAACCGAACGCCGTGTACCGTTGATCGCTTTACCGCTGCAACAGTCAAATAGCGTTGCTTTGCCAATGTGACTGAAGCAGAAGCTGCATTGGTTGAACGCCGAGCGATGGAGCTGGTCAATCGCACTCGTGCGACAGCCATACTGCGAGGCTGCTTATTAAAGTCGAGAGGTATAAATGCGGGTTAACACCTTAAGCAGCGTTCAGACTTCGCGATGACGTTCGCCGAAGCGCTGCAACGCGCGAAAACGCGCTAAAACACCGCTCCAATCCTGTAGACGCGAACGCAGCTGCATGCGGAGTCAATCGACGTCGGTCGCTTGTGTTTCGAGACAGTAAGGATAACGCAATTCGCGCAATCTGGCAGTCTGTCATTCTTCTATACTTTTTCAGAGCTTAGCGGCCATTGCCGATCAATATCAGACTGCGTGATTGGACAGTGCGTCCCCTTCTATTCTTCTACACTCTCTCAAGGCGGCCGGCACTGATTGATTCCCGTCTGCCGATCACGCGTCTATAGCCTTGGAATGCTGTTGCAATTATAGCGCGTTACGGTGTCTTGGCGCGTTATCGCCTAGAACGCTGCCTCAACAAGTGTCATTCGAAACTTACTTATGCTTAGGCGATTTGCTCCGCCGTGACGACCTTTTTTCGGTGCGAGAGCGTGACCGTGATGCTGAGCGCGACCTCCGCCTTCGTCTCTCGCGATCAGCATCCTGTAAAAGGAGAAAAATACAGTGCCTTTCAAAAATCCACGCGCAACAACAAATTGTACGCAACGCCTGCGCGCGATTGAAAGAAACACCATTGCCTAGACCGACAAGTACGTTATTTGGATAAACCAGCCTGTACAAATTTAGGTGTTCAGTCGCCCTGAAACGATTGCTTGATGCATTCACGTAGAAGACACGAAAAAAAAACAAAGAGAAACGTTAGATAAGCATGCAGACTGTGGGTACGGTGAGAAAGGATGACAGCAATGAAACACTAAAGACGCCAGAAAATCTAGACGACAACATCCCCTAACCTTTTCTTTGTAGGAAGACAACCAATCGGCCGATATATGGATCTGACAACGTTAATGAGGCTGTGCTCATCTTTGCGCCAGCGTCCACCAGCGTTCACTAGCTTTTCGAGCGTCCACCAGCGCCACCTACCAGGAAAGTATGGATGCCAACCTAGATCTAGCGAGGGCCACCGTTTCCCAGCGTCCACCAGTGTCCAGCAGCGTCTCTGGAATCATAGGTGTCGATCTAGCGAGCGCCACCGTTTCCAGCGTCTGCGAATGGAGATTATGGGGAAGTAGGAAGGCAACAGACAGCTGGATTAGGCGTCGTAAAATGGCGGCGTGTGCAGCCACACCGCTTGACTGCAGTGCACCGTATACCAAGATTGCATGATTCTGTGCTTTGGCAGCTGCATGGTGCGGTTGCACACGACGCTATTCCACGACGCCTAATCCAGCTGTCTGCTACCCTCCTACTTTCCCATAATCTCTGCCCTGGACGCTGGCGAACTATGGTAGACGCTGGCGTCCCACAGATCGATATCTATACTTTCCTGGTTGCTGGCGTACGCTCGAAACGCTGGTGGACGCTGACGCAAAGTA